TATATATTTCTATACATATATTCTTGATCAGTAGCCACAATCAAGTCCATGTAGCCACGTCTGACTGCCTGTCCATATGAACTATCCTCTCTTACAGGCATAGAAATATCCGGATCAGAACACATATAGCATATTTGTAGCTGCCTTAGGATTGATCAGATCAAACATTTCCTTCTACTTAAAACTTGTATTTATTCAAGATATATTCAACAAACTTAACTCCAAGCTCTTCTATTCTACTCACCTGTCTAGCAGAGTATTTAATCTTCGGCGTGCCGTACTTTCTTGTTTTATGGCCTGTTGCTGCTTTTGGCCTTTGTCTCGTGTGACGTAAACTCGAGTCAAATGCAGCCGTTTGGCCTGAACCGAAAAAAAAAGAAAACAATAATACAGTATTTATAAATAATGTAATATGCTCGCTTTTGAGCTGCGTCTATTTCCGCCCCTTTTGGGCCAGGCCAAGACAATAAAACGCTGAAAGCACGCAACAAGGTCAGGGCAAACGTTGAAGCTGAGCCACGAGATTTCGTAATGGACTGGGAACTGGCATACACAAGAGTCGGAGAGTGTGTGTATGTATGTGTGTGTGTGGGGGCCTTGAGACTGTGTGACACGCCCAACAACGGGCAACATTTTAATTTAATCGCATTCGATTCTGGAGCAACAGCCCCCACACTTTGTGCGATCCGCTTAAATGGCAGGCTGCGCGAATCTATAGATCCAGAGATCGTGTCCAGATAATTCAAGGCATTCGGCCAAGTGGTCGAGACTCTGCTCTCTGATGTTTTATCTTTTGACCAATTGTGAAAGTAATTTAATGCGGATTCGGTTCAGCATCCACTGTTTCTGCTTCTTCTTCTACATTTTTCAATTACCAAGAATTGCATGTTTCGTTTTAATTTCCACGTAGTTCAATTGCCCGCCCGAGCCGAATGTCTGCGTGTCGTAGTGCACTTCTTCTGGGAAACTGGTTGGGATACAACAGCACAACAACAACAACTATATAAACTGGTGTGTGTGTGTTTGTGTGTGTCGGTGTGTGCCTAAATGCTTTTGAACCAGTTCTGTGGAAACTGCGTGTCTAAAAATTTAATGAAATCGCAGACATACAGCTTCTATAGGAAAGAAAGCAACATTGAAATGCATTCGTTATACAGCACTGCACTCTGCGGAGTGCCCCTGCCAATCAGCTTTGGTGGTGCGGATAATTGAGATATTATTAGCCAAGTGGCACGGCATTGGCATTTGAATTAAACGTGCCGCAATTGCTGAAATGTTGCCTAATGAGCTGTATATTGCATTGCCTAACACAAAAGAGATTACGAATCAAGCAGCTAAGCCAATTTCGAGTGCAATCAAAGTCATGTAGCGCTTGCGGATAAGTAATTTAGCGTTGCGGAAAAATCGGATAGCAATTATAGTACGCTATAAAGCTTATCAATTGGGCTAAATAGAGTGGAAATGGGCATATAACTAGTTGGATAAATAGGAAATGCATTTAAATTACAATAAAATTTATGATATATTAGGAATGTGTCAATTAGTCATATAAATAACTTAAGAGAAAGATGAGGTGTGGTAAAAAAATAGAAGATTTTGTTCAGAATGGGTAAGAAAGGTATTCTGCATTTTCGGATAAATGCGGATAAATCCGGATAATTCGGATAAAATCGGATAATTTGTAAAATGTTGCCAGAACATCAAAATTGACATTAATTTGCAACCTAGTTTAACTTTGCGCTGTGCTAATAACTTGTCTTGCCATTCCAATTTGCAATTTCCATTTGCAATATGTGTCAAGCACTTTACTTTTTTAATTATGCTCATATGTGCGCGAGTACTCGTCTGGGCAGTTGTGACACACACACATCACGGAAATGACAAACATCAAACCAAATAAACTCAAACTCGAAGCTCAAATCTTCTTAACCCAAATTTATGCATGTGTCAGAGATCGCACCATAGTTGGTCAGATGCACGTCAATTCCCATGCAACATTTTAAGCGCAGGCAGTTTGCGTATGGCAAATAAAATTGCATGCCGCATAGAAAAATCAAAGAGCCAACTGGTTTTAATACCCTGTAAAATTTGAAAGGGATAAGATGTAGCAGGATTCGGAGCTATAGACATGTGCTTAAAATTTAATGTTGAAAGCAAAATGACGCTAGAAGTTTTTGAAGGAAATAAATTCTATAGAAAGGACGCTCAGTTTTTGCTGTCAATATATTTGTGATGCATACAGAGCATATCTAAGTCGGACACTCTCACCTAGAGCCTGCCTTGGCCGAAAAGAGAAAACCGCCCCAGCCTGGCCAAGAGTTGAGAGTTGCCGGACAGCTGCGAGTATGTCAACAGTCTTGGCCATATATGGCAAACTGTTTTTTTATATTTTCGATTTTGGCTAGATTTGAATTGGGCTGACGCTGGTGTTGGCTATCAAAGTCAATCAACAGGCGCACAATTCATTTGTGACAGATTATGCCTTGACTTTGTTTGGGCAACAGTTGACAATCGCAATGAATGGATCGACTGCCGATCAGAGATCAGCGTTCGCTCGTTTCGGTTTAGAAAGCAAAGCTCAAAGCTCTAGAGCCCCCCTTTGATTGATCGCACGCAGATTTGTCCACATATTGGCTGTTGTTTTTGGCACTCTACAACAAAACAAATGGAATTTGCATTGGTAAACCATAAAACGTAGCACATAAAACTTTCACTGGGCTGCGGTTTGTATCGTACATTTTCTTTCTTTAACGATCTGCCTAATGTTATCGCCGCTGATCTTCCAGCTGAACTACAACATGGTGTTAATGCTAATAGCTTGGCCCATCAGTTACATGCAACATGCTGCCTGCTGCCTGCCGCACAACTGGCGAGACATTCACTTTTGCATGCAACCAAGCCATGGCCGAGCGTTGGGGGCCCATTAATTTGCTTTAGCGAAAGGGTTTTTAGCCAGGCTTTATCTGTGGGCCCTGCTAAATAGCCGCACAAATTTGTGCGTTTGTTAGCAGAAGGTTAACTTGTCTTGACTCTGGACTTGGTCAAGTTGTTATCATTCATTTGCATAAATTTACAAGTTATTCAGATAAATCGCTTGGCGTGCTGGCAAATTGCTTTCAGCTGCCGCTCATGGCGCTCTTCTTCTCACATTGATTAGGCTCCCAACGTGGGACAGCTGGTTTCTGTTTGTGTGTGTGCTATTCATGCTCCAAATGTTGTGCAATTTGATACAAATCGAAAATGCCTATGAATGAGAATGTAAGAGCAGGCAGCATGACACGCAACTGCAGCGCGTCTTTAATTTCCGAGAGCTAAACGCATAAAGCACTTGGCGTTAAGTCACACAAATGACTTTAATTACAAAAATTAAAGAAACATAAAAACAAAACAAAAATACCAAAACAAAATTATAGCCAGCGGGCAAGCTGAAATTACCAGAGAAAACATGTAAGAATGCGTGAAGGCAGTGCGCTCGACTTGCCAGATGCCCTGTAAACAGGTCTAAAGTATACAAAGTGCAGAAAATAGTTTGCTAAATTAGTTGCATTTTGATTGTGTGCTCCTTATGAACTGTACGGAATATATATGGACAATAGGCAAATATATATGAATAGCAAAAATCAAAGTTTAAGCTCAATAAATGCCTTTACAGTCAGTTTATTTTTCAGTTAACTGGGCACCGGTTATAGTTATTACAAATTTGATGAATGTTTTATCTCCTTCTGGTATACGAGTACCTACATACCAAAGTTGATGTCTCTAGCATTAAGAGTTCTTGAGTTATCCGAGCACAGTGAAGGAAACCCAACAGATAAAGCTACAATTATGTTTGCATGGGCCTGCTTCCAGCTGTTGTATACGCCCGCTTTGAAGCATTTCATTTATGCACAGGGTATTTAAAAGCAAATTAAAACTGAAACATGACCAGGCTGGGTGCCATATGAACACAAGTTTAAAGCTGCCGCTGGAATTTCTAAAGCAATATCCAATTGTTGTTGTTGCTGCTGCTGCTGCTGCTGCCGCTTGGCTGCATAATCGCCGAGTGTGCCACAGTGTGTCGAGTGAAAGTACACACAGAAAGCGGCAGAAAGAAGCGTCAGATTCCACAGAGCGCAGCCTCCGCTGGTCAGTCCGGGCCCAAAGTTTATGACTCTGGCCATGGTGATGGCCACATGCTGATGGCTCGACATGCGCTGGCAATTTCGAAATTTCATAAATTGGACAACAACACGCATGCGCCAGCAGCTGCAGCAGCAACTGCAACTGCAGCAGCTGCAGCTCGGCCGCAATTGCAGTCAGAACAGATTAGAAATGTCCGGCGCGTTGAATTTAAATGAGTTTTGTTATATCTCAGCTGGCTAATTGCAAATTGGGCTTGTCAGCATTCATCATGTGCATATGAATATGAATGAATATTCATATCTGGATATGAATATGAGTATCGTTCAGCAAATGGTGCAACATTACGTATGAGCAATTTTCATGTTCAACGTCTCAAAAAGCATGCCAACAAATTAACATGCAACAGGATTTGCGGCAAATCTTGTAAATCTCTGCCTCCACTGGGGCAATGCGTTAAAAATGCGAGTCAAATTCAACGCAAGGTGTAATTTTGTGGTATTATTAATAATAGTACAACTTTTTATGCAACATTGGGTGGGTTTACATTGCGAAAAGCTCAATGATTTATGAGAAGATAATTAAGAAATCACATTTTAAAGCTTGCTTTGATTAATAAACAACATTTGGATTAGTTACAGCAGATTGTTTAGTGATGAAATTTTGTGTGAAAATGGGAGTCGACAGCTTTGATTAATTTTAATAATTTATTATATTAAGACAACTTTTAACATCCAACAAGTTGCACAAATAATTTCATTAAATATTATAAAATATTCTGCTTAAAAGATTGTATAGCATGTTTGGTAGGAAATCCTTATTTACACTTTTTCCGTTAGCTGCTTAAACTAATCCTTGTTTCCACATCTTTGTGCTTGCAGCAACCAGTCGAACCACAAATACAAGCCCACACCCGCACCGCGCACCAGCAGCTCCGCATTCGCCACGAGACGCAGCAGCCACAAGATGCAGCAGCCCGGCAGCAGCTACTACACGCAAACGGAGAGCGAGCTGCTGCAGCTGGAGGCTGGCGGTGGTGCGCCCTTTCCGCCGCATCGCGGCAACACAGCCCAACCACAGCAGCAGCAACAGCAGCAGCCACAGCAGCAACAACCACAGCCGCAGCAGCTGCAGGCGGCGAGTGGCAGCACATGCAACAACAACAATTTGGATGCCCCATCGACGGCAGGGAGCAGCAGCGGGACGCCGTCGCATTTTGTGTCGCCGCTGCAGAGACGCCACTGCCAGCCGCCCAACCATCTGCCACTGAACTCGGTGGTGGCGACGCCGCTGCGCACCGCCAGCTATAAGACGGCGGCGGCAACGGCGGCCAGTGTCTATCATCATAGCCACCATCAGCAGCTCGATTTTCAGCGCAATTCACAGTCGGACGATGACAGCGGCTGTGCGCTCGAGGAGTACACCTGGGTGCCGCCGGGTCTGCGGCCAGATCAGGTAAGCGGGCGTAGCCCAACACATGCCGCAATTTGTCGCAGCTAATTAGGTGAAATCACAAAAGCAGCCAACGGGCAATTTTCGCTGCTCGATTTCCATGTGGTTTTTTTGGTGGTTTCTGACCACCTGCTGTGGCGCTTTTGGACTTTTGCTTTCGTTTGCCTTGGCCACAGCCCAAAATCAAATCGAGTGCCAGTCGCAGTCGCAGTCGCAGTCCCAGCTCCAGTTCAATGTCTGGCACGTTTAAGGAAATGCGGCGAGCACTTTAATTGCCGCTGAGCGGCTTTTATTTCTTTTTTTTGGCTTGTGGAAAATTATCGCTCTATCGAATGGCAATCGATGAAAAGCGAAAGCGTTTTGTAATTAAATCGCCTGCCCGCATTTGGCTGCAATTAGAGAGCCCGGTCAAGAGCTGGGGCCAAATCTGGCCCAAATGCTTACATAACAAGCTGGGAAAACAAAACAAAACTGAAAGAAAAACCAACTGCGAGAGTTGGCAGCTTTTCTGCCATTCATTCTGCTGGCGTCATGACTTTTTCGCGACATTTTCCACTTTCGCACGTTTCACATCAGTTTTTGTTGTTTTCGTGGCTTTTACTTTTGTTGTTTAATTTTTTGTCGATATTCGTGTGGCTAAAAAAAGCTGTGGGCGTGCATTGTTGTTGCTTTTAGCCAAGTTGGTGAAAGCGTTTTGTCACTCGACTTTGATTAATTCGTTATGACTGGTCCTTAATGAATTGTTTCCCACGAAATTAGTCGCCCAGCCAGTTGTACAATCGTTAAGCCAAAGTTTATGGCTAATACATAACTGCAGTGCTTAAGTTTTTTCTTATTTTATATCTGATGTTGTCTCTCTTTCTTCTAACTGCTCGTTAACAGGTTCGCTTGTACTTTAGCCAACTGCCGGACGACAAAGTGCCCTACGTCAACAGTCCCGGGGAGAAGTATCGCGTGAAACAATTGCTGCACCAGCTGCCGCCCCAAGATAACGAAGTGAGTATTAGCCAAAGCAGCCAAAATGGCCAAAAGGAGCAAAGGCAATGAAAGCACAGCTCATCAGAGAGTCTGCCAGCACAAGGGAGCACTCAATGGCACTGGCGACAAAAAAATAAAAAAACAAAAGAGCTCAAGCATCATAAAAATGCAGTTAATGCCAGCAACAGCATTGCCAACTTTTGAGAATTTCGAAAAGCAACAACCAAAATGACAGTAAATGAAAACAGAAGCGAATATATTAAGACACACATTGCCGAACACTTAATGCCCTTACTGTTGTCTAGGTTTATAGTAAGCTATGCTTCGACTCACTGAAGCTTGGGAATCGTAAATCAAAGAAACCCAAAGCCAAAACCTTACTGTTGTCTAGGCCTATAATAAGCTATGCGTTGGCTTACTGAAACTTAAGGATCGATAACAACTTGACCAATAGAAGAGGGTCACATCTTTTATATATGCTATAGTTAGTATTCCGATTTTGATTATATATATCCCACTTGTATACGATTTTAGTATATGCTAGTATATGCTGCTTGAAATAACCCTAAAGATTAACATTTATCTCATATAAAAATGTAGTTTTATATTGAAAATTCCTAGAAAAACTATAGATTTTTTTATACAACCATTGAAATTCAATTTAGCCAGGTCTCCAAAGGAAGCTGTATAATGCCATATAGTAGTCCGATTTCGATTATACACGTAGAATTATAGAGCACTCTAATTAAACCAAAGTATGTGCCGAATTTAATGGAAAATTTTTTTAAAGAAAAATAAACAATATTTTATACAGGAATTAAATTTATAACTGAGCTTTCCTAGGCTATATAATGTAGTAGATTGAAGATCAGGTTTGTTTAATCGATAGTAACTATATCAGCTATATTTTATAGCAGTCTGATTCAATAGGTTTCGATAAATCTGCTGTCTGCAATAAAAATAAGCATCTGTAGAAAGTTTCATAAATCTAGCCCAGCTCAGAGCTCAGTTCTGATGGACAGACAGAAGAGAAACAGAGATCAGCATTAGATATGCCTTTTGGATTGCACAATGTCAGTTTGCCAGGCGTTGCAAGTTCCCCAGCAGAGCTTCAACATCCCTTTGCAAGGGTATTTCAAAAGGAAAAGGCAAATAAATTTGTATAAAAATCAAGGCCACGCCCCCCACAGTCAGCGGCAGAGTGCGAGATTAAAAAAGTTGGCATTGCCTTTTTTGAGCTGCGCCCATAAGAGCGGGAGATTTTAATTAATATTTACAATGCAAGAAACTGGCTGCCACTCGCTGGCTGGCTACCAAAACCAATACCATTGCCATTGCCATTAACCATTAACCATGGTCATGCCCATGTCCATTCCAGGTGCGCTATTGCCACTCGCTGAGCGACGAGGAGCGCAAGGAGCTGCGCATCTTTTCGGCGCAGCGCAAGCGGGAGGCGCTCGGACGTGGCGCGGTGCGGCTGCTGTCCGACGAAAGGCCCTGCAAGGGGGTAAGTACTACCCTGTGTGTGTCCCACGACCCCTACTCAACTTAATTGTGAGCCAAGAAATTTGCATTTTATTATGAGCCCGAAGAAAAGGCGAGTTTCGATTTCATTTTTTGCCAGTGCCGGGCAAAGTTTTGCGCAAACTTTGACAGGACGCGCTCGGCTACCAAGGACTGCTTATGAATAATGGCCGGGTGTGAGTGGGGTTGGGTTGGGTTTTGCGAAAAAAATTGACAATGGCGCCTGCCAGAAACAATAAGCAAGGGAGAACGAGGGCTGCGACGGGGCGGGCGGGCGAGCACGGTTAACTTTCAAACGTCGCGACGTCGCAACTTGGCAGCGTCTCAAATAAAAGATGACAAAAAGATTTCATTAAGTACACTTTTAGCAAACGGCAAAGTGCTGCAACAACGGGCGAAAAACTGCAAATGAAAAACGTTGTTGCAAAAACAATTGCAGCAACTGCCATTGCAACAGCAATACAAAAGGGCCACAGCCAGCTCCGGACAACGGACTACGGACTACGGACTACAGACTACGGAACTCTACTGTGAACTAACCGAGTGCTGCAAGTTGATTTTTGTACCCTTTATTGGGCGAAAGGAGTTGTTAGAGGGTCGGTCTAAAATATGTGCAACAAGCAGAGGATATCTTTAATTTCTTGAGGCATTTTTATGCTTGAGCGACATCAAGGTAGAAATCTGGACAGGCATTTGTCTCTCTGTCTGTTCTAAGATATAAGCTCTAGAGCCTGATTCCTTGGTATGCAGGCTCTTATATGATAAATATAGCTAAAAATAATTAAAGCTCTGTAAAAACTAGCCAAGATCCCTAGTTATTGGGCGAAAAAGAATTGTATGAGCTTGTTTAAATAATGAGGTTTAATTTCTGGAATATAATTATAATTAGATATATGTTTGTATCTGCCTTTCCATGCAACCTTATGCCTATTAGCATTAGCAATGATTTATGATTTCATTAACAAGGCATCTGCTAGTCGAGCATTTGGGATTTTAGCCCAGTTGCCTTTGCTTTTTTGTCGAAAAGTGAATGTGCATATATAGAGAAAACTGCGCAACGCAGTGAAATGGCACTAAAGCACAATGCTAGTAGCATAAAATAGTCGCAATAGCAGTTGCAGTAGCAGTAGCAGTAGCAGTAGCAGTTGCAGCAGCAACAGCAGTAGGGAGGAGTAGAAGTTCCTTCCCCCCTCCCTTTAAACAAAAATTTGCATTGTTATTAGCTGACAGTTTGTGGAGTTTGAGTGCGAGTCTGTGCGTGGCGAGGCTAACCAACTGGCAAGTGAAGCTTCTATAGCTTCAAGTTGGCCTGTCTGCACGGCCACAATCATCCATATACCCGATCCATGGCTACCCACTGTCTGTCTGTCTGCCGCAGATAGTTTGGAGCTTGATTTTATTGTGTTCACATTCGCCACTCGTAAAACTTATTAAAAAGTTTATGCCGCATGCTGCCACGCAGCGCTGCGTGTCTTGTCTGGGCAACCGGTCGAGCTTGGGTCGACATGGGCATGCAGCCCGAGCATCCAGCATTTGTACGCTGCACTGGCTGCTGCCCCCCACTCCGCCTCTTTACAGTGCCTCTCGCTCGTCTGCTACGTGCGTGGGCGTTGCGGCTCGTCGGAGGTGTTGCCCCGGCATTAAAGTTGTGCCCAAGTTTTCACAGTGATTTTCTTTGGTTTTGGGTTTTTTGCGGAGAGACGACCAAATTGGCAGCCAAGTTGCATTTATTACGCCTCGCCACAACGACTTATAAGGCAGCAGGGGCAGCGCTCTGGCCAGGCCAGGCCGGGCCAAGACCAGGTCCAGGTCCAGGTTCAGAGTTCATTAGAGACAGCCGCGCAAACAGCGTGCGAAGTTTTCAATAAGTTTGTCCTCTCATGTTTAATGCCAAAGTGCAGTTACATATTTGATTTCATATGTTTTGATCAATGATGCCAAGGGCTTACCTCATAAGATACTTCAGTTATTTATGATGCCACTCACAAAGACTTTCAGAACTCTGCACATTATATTGCTCAAAGTTAGCCCAAGTTGGAGTGGGGCACGTTCCCAGCAGCTCGTTTGTTACTAAAAAGTTCAAGGAGATGTTTAACTATTTGAAAAAGAGGGAATGTTTATATTTATAGCAAGAATTTGATTAAGTTGTAGAATAGATTATGCTTCTATATACGTTGGTAAATACTGAACCATATGATAGACTCAGGGGAATATTTTCTAGGCACTTTTAACAATTAACTAAACAATATAAATATGGGCATTAATGTGTAAATAGGTCTAATAAATATAAGAGATATGTTGTAAACAATTTAAAAGTAACTCTTGCAAATTTGTCTAATAATGCTTGTGGTATTTACATAATTATTTTGGTTTGTGTTAAGCAATGAAAGAAATAGATAGAAAGAAAACTCACTCATATGTAGAAATTTGTTGCGCTAAGCCACAGGCAGGCGGCAGTGGTTAATCTTAAGCCAGCAGCATATGTTATAAAAGAGCATAGCTCGAGTAAATTAAGTCCGATTATTGAATGATATACATTTTTAGACTTGTGGGGATCTGAGCTGCAAATGTTGGCATATTTTTGTTAAAAATGTCAAAGCGTAACAATACAAATTTGATCAACATGAACTTAAAGGGGAATACAGATCCTACTTCAAATCATACTTCAGATGAGTTTCCATGTTTTAAAGAATTTAAAGCTTATTGTTCTAAATTTAAAACTTGATGAACAATTTTGTAGGTAGTGGGCGTGGCTGCGCCTTGAACTATTTGAGCTAGTCCTTCTCTAGAATAGTATTTATCCAAGTTAAAGCAGCTGAGCAGCATTCAATTGCCCGATCAAGTTCAACTGGTAGGTGGAATGCCTTATTAATGAAATCTGATAAGTCAAGTCAGATTTGATGTTCATGAGCAAAACTGACGAGCCGGAGCCCGCTCCTCGGACTTGGCCCTTGTGCTACTTAAAATTCACAAACCATAACTGAGACCTGCTAAACGAAGGTTAAAATGCGAACAAAGCGAATGCCGCCCACTGAATCAGATCTGTGGGGGGAGGCAGGAGGAGGAGGAGGAGGAGGAGGAGGAGGAGGAGGGAGCGAGCGTGAACAGCCAAGCAGAAATTATGCTTAAAGGAAATTTATGAAAACGCTCAATGAGCCTGAATGATGCCCGGTTCTCCTTTGCTGCTGCTGCTGCTGCTGCCAAAAACCACTCAAATTCACTCAAGCGTAAATGAGTCGCATGGCCAGAGGAACGTGCGTCAAAGTCAGAGTTAGTCGGAGACAGAGACAGATCCACAGCTCGTAATGATTTGGCCAGCTCAGATTTTCCACACGAACAACAATGGAGTCAGCTGAACTGACAGTTGGCGCTGGAGCTGGGGCTGGGGCTGAGCGGATGTGACAGCAGAACTTGACAAGGATGTGACACTAAAGGTCGTCCTGGCAACGATGGAATACAAAATAATTATTAAGTAAAGCCATGGCATATACTTTTGCACAAAACTGTCGAGGGGTGAAAGCAGCAAAAAGTTGGCGCAACATAAAAAAAAATGGAAGGTATCTGAAAATCCCGCTGCCTGCTGCCTGTTAAGCAAAAAGTTTATGTACTGAAAAGGGCACGATAACGAGCGTCATTAATAATTTGAAGGCACTGTGCAACCAGCGAGAGAACCAGAGAGAGAGAGAGAGAGGGGGAGAGTGAGAGAGAGATGGGGAGTTATGGGCTTAGGTATTGGGGGTTGGGCAACGGCTGGGCAGGAAATTGTCTTGCTTGTCTGCTGGCAAGTTTGTCGGGCGCAGCGCCAAAATTTGGATTAGGGCGGACGACACGAAACGGGTTAGCCAGGTCAGGTGGCGCCTCCGCGTGGCGGCAGCCAGCGTCAATTTGTCAATAGCATAATTGTCTGCACTGCAGCAGAGTCCGGGTATCAGGGTTCAGCAACTGCAACATGCGACTGGGATTAATTGGATTGATAAGATAAATGAACAGCGATTGCTGTTAAACACATGACATTTGCCAAAATCACCAGCAGCAACGGGAGCAGCAGCGGGAGCAGACCTGAAAAATGTCCTTTTAAGTGGACTCCAGGCCAAAAAGAAACTTTTATACTTTTGCAATTTAGTCACCACAGAAACTACTTAGAGCTTTTCCGGCACAACTTCAAGTCTGAACCACAACAAAGTGCTGGCCAAAAAAAAATAAGGAAGTAAGCAGCAGCAAGTCCTGACCGCAACAGGATGCGCAGCAGCTACAAAAATACATCATTAGCGCCTGACACAAAGTCTCTCTCTCTCTCCCTTTCTCTCGGCCTGCTGCAGAGCCTAATTAAAGTGCGTGGTGGCTGCTTCTTTTTGTTTTTTTTTTTAGAAGTTGGTAACAATTAACGACGCATGCAGCGGGCCAAGCTGGTAGCTACTTAAGCAAGACTATGGAAATTATCAGCCCTGTGCGGGCGCTAGGTACTGGCTGTCAATGTTTAATGGCTTGCAAAAGTAAATGTTGATTGCAGGGGGGGCCCACTGTGTGGCAACCGACTGAGGTTTAATAGCCTGGAAAGTTAAGAAGCTGCAGGAAGCGAGGTCCTTGCAACGTCTTGTGGCTTTTGTGGCGCTGCCGGGTAATTTGCGTGCGCGAACTGAAGACACGGTAGCTGGGTTGGGGGGGAGGAACAGAATCAGGAAACACTGAAAGCTGAAACGAAAATGGCGCAAATTGGCGTCGGCTTTGTCAGGGCTAAGGGGCTGAGGGCTGACAAAAAGGTTTGGAGGAGGGGAGACCTTAGGGCTGCCCACAAATGGCAGCCTTTTTGCGTCGCATGTGCTCTCAACTTTTTGGGGCCTCCCCCAAAAATGGCATTCATAAATCAGAGCAATTGCGTTAATTGCTTTGCATGCACATAAAATGTTGCAAAGTTGTGACTTCCTTGGCAAGGTTATAGGAAATGGGGCAAAATAGATTTCCTAGAAAAGTTAGAAAAGCTTGAGTACACGGAAGTTTGCCCAAACCCTATTAGAACTTTTGCTATATACACAAATAAGTTATAATAGATTTCCTTCTACGTGATATATGAATGTCATATATTAATGTGTTCTAAATAAAATAGGTATTTTGAAGTTTTTTTAGGATAAACAGCTGGTGTGGTATAGCTAAATGTGCCATATTCAGGAGTTTCTTCCGGTTTCTTCTAATGTGAGTGTGGTGCAGCTATATTTAAGAGGTTACAGAGACTTGAACATAAATTTGCTTCTATCTGATTTCTAAATACTATAAAGTTTCAGAAGTTTCCTTTAGAATGTCCTGGATTCGATTTTCTTATACGTTCGAGTAAAATAAAAGTAACTTTCATACCATAGGAATTCCGGGTAATCTTCCAGTGGAGCAGACCTTTTTTGCGTCCAGGATGACAGCATGGTGCAGCTATATCTAATATAGCTATATTCTTATACATATAGAATAATTTTATTTATGGAATACATTTTCTTATATTAGCTGCTGGCTATAGCAGAAATTCAGTAGTATCTTCCAGTAGGACATGCTGTGAGATGTGACAGGTCAGCTTGTTTTCAGATATTTAGCAGCTTGCCGCAGGCTCAAAGCTGTCAAAGCTGCATGTCCTACTGGAAGATACTTTCAGAAGATACGTACCTATTAATGGATAAGCTTCATCTAAACTCCCTGCTATGCTCTGTGTCTGCTCCGCAATTCCATAATAGCTCCTCCTAATCGCCTTAGAGCATATGTTCTCTGTTTTTCTTCGATTCCTAGCAACTGTTTTAACCACATAAACGCCTAGAGTTCCTCGGGCAAACCAAACACAAAGACATTAGCTCGCCTGACCCTATTTAGGTGCCTCGCTCTACGTAAATGAGTTCATTATGCGAATGGCTACAGCTTTAACGAGTTGAGGTTGAGTCATTAAAAGCTGCGCTTCCGTTCGGGCTCCGTGACAACCAGCTTCGACTCCTACTCCAATTCCGACTCCAACTTCGACTCCTACTCCTACTCCTCCTCCTCCTCCGATTGCGACAGCGACACCGACACCAGCATTTTCCTTGCGGCCTTTTCTCGTGTTTCGTGTTTTTCCAACAGTTTAAAGTCTCCCGGTTTTTCCGCTCGCTCTCTGGGGAGCACTTGGGCGTTGAGGCCGCGCACATGGCCGGCAGCTATTTTTGCATGATTTCCGTTGTGAAAAAAACAGCAAAACCGCAAAGTTAGGAGCTGGGCGGAGGGTTCGCTTTCTGTTCGGCTGTAGCCTTGTTGTCCTCGCTCGGGGGGCTTAAGCGTTTTATTACCGTTATTTAGCATTTATAGTCGCTTAAATATTTTCGCCCAGCCAAAAGCAGACGCTGCAGATTTCTATCGCCACGCTGTCTCCCACAGCACAAGCTGAGCATATTTCTGTTATTTATACACGGTTTACCCTTACTCATTTGCCTTCTTCTTCTTTCATTTTTGGACAGTGCGAGGAGCAGCTCTCCGGCGGTGACATTGTGGTCTTCGCCCAACGTTTGGGCGCCCAGTTGTGCTGGCATCCCGGCTGCTTTGTGTGCAGCGTATGCAAGGAGCTGCTCATGGACTTGATATACTTTCAGCGCGATGGCAATCTCTACTGTGGCCGCCATCATGCCGAGACACAGAAGCCGCGCTGCTCCGCTTGCGATGAGGTGAGTACAAGAAACAACTACAAAGTTCACAAACTAATTAATGAACTAGTTCAATTGGGTATTTAATTAGTTAACTTTTTGAGAAGTTAAATTAAACAATAATTTCTTTTACCAAATGTTTTCCTCCATTCCACATCTTGTGGAATATTCTATGTATATAAAATGTTATTGGTTGCAATCAGTTGGTTCCGAAAAAAGAATACATAGAGAGGAGAGATTTAAATGTATCGATATACATATTTTAAATAAGTGTTGAGTAACGCTCAATTAGCTTTAAAGAATTCTTGTATGCTCCTTATTTTCGCACCTTAACAAACTGCAATCTTTCTTGCTCTCTCACCTCTACAGATCATCTTCTCGGATGAGTGCACGGAGGCCGAAGGTCGCACCTGGCACATGAAACACTTCGCCTGCCAGGAGTGCGAGCATCAGCTGGGCGGCCAGCGATACATTATGCGCGAGGGCAAGCCGTATTGCCTGGGCTGCTTTGACACCATGTTCGCCGAGTACTGTGATTACTGCGGCGAGGTCATTGGCGTCGATCAGGGCCAGATGAGCCACGACGGGCAGCACTGGCATGCCACGGATCAGTGCTTCTCGTGCTGCACCTGCCGCTGCTCGCTGCTGGGACGTCCGTTTCTGCCGCGCCGCGGCACCATCTACTGCTCAATTGCGTGCAGCAAGGGTGAGCCGCCGACGCCGTCGGACACGAGCTCTGGCCCACAGTTGCGGCCCACGCATCGCGCCTCCACTTCCAGTCAAATAGCACGGTCGCCGCGCCGCACAGCCGAGTCGACGGGGCGTGGCAAGAGCAGCGGGGGCGGCAGTCATGGACATGCGGGCAAGAGCGCAGGCAGCGCGGGCGATCTGCTGGAGCGGCAGGAGCGCAAGCGCATGGAGGCGGTAGGCGTGGCCGATCTGCTGCTGGGCGGCTGTGTGCCCGGCATGCCACGACCCGCCCATCCGCCGCCCATAGACCTGACCGAGCTGGGCATCAGCCTGGACAACATCTGTGCCGGCGACAAGTCCATCTTTGGCGACACGCAATTGACCTCCTCCATGCCGGACATGCTGCTGTCCAAGGCGGAGGATTCGCACAGCTATCAGAGCATAGACAAGATCAATCTGAACTCGCCCAGTAACTCGGACATGACGCAAAGCACCCAGGAGCTGGGCAACGAACTGGAGCTGGACAATGAGTCTGTGCGCGAGCTGGAGCTGCCGCACGATGGCTACGAGCAGCTCTTTGCCGCCAAGCAGCGCAGCAATCTGGACGAGAAGGAGGAGCAGCAGCTGCAGCAGCATCAGCATCAACTGGACAATCGACCGCCACTGAAGGAGGTGCGCTTCCACAGCGTGCAGGACACCATGTCGCGCTCCAAGAGCTACACGGATAACTCGAATGCGCGACGTCGTCGCCGGCGCCGCAATCAATCGCGCAGCTCCTCCGAGATGCAGATCAATCAGACGAATCTGCGACTGCACAATGCCCAGACGCAGGCGGGCGGCGGCGCACTGAATCTGCTAAACAATCTGGACAATTGCGATGTGGCCAGCATCTGTTCCACATGCTCCTCCAGCTCCTCCAGCGACATGGACGACTACGTTTACCGGCTGCCAGCGCGCAAGCACTACGGCGGCGTGCGTGTCGCCTATGTGCCCAATGATGCACTCGCCTACGAGCGCAAGAAGAAGCTGGCCCAGGCGGGCGATGCCAACGCTCTGGGCAACTCCTCCGCTGGCAGCTGCTTGGGCGGCGCCCAGTCGAGCTTGCCGGCGATCATGCACGAGAGCAAGAATTGCACGATATCATGACCACCTCCAATGCTGCCGCCGCCGCCGCTGAATCTCAGCAGCTATTATATACTGGACACAATATTGGAGGAGCAGAGCCTCAGTCTGTTGCCCGAAAAGAAACCCGGCTGCCTGAGGCGCGTCTGGAACTTCTTTGGCCTGGGCAAGCCGCGTCCAGGCAATGCACAGCGTCTGTATAGCGTTTAAACCCGCATATCGGGGCTTTTGTAAATGGACATATCGATAAATACCATATAATAATATGCAAAAAATAATACACCATATATTAACTAAGGATTGGTGGACACATTTAGATAAGCTGTAAAGTGAGCTGGTAAGAAAAACACACACATTTTCTTTTCCTTTATTCTTCTTCTTGTATATTACATTTATCTCTGCTATCCAACACATACAACACGTATTATTTCACATACTTCAGCTCACAAAGTATTCCAAACTACATACATATAGTATATACATATAGGGTACATAATGGAGCTGATGAGAGATTCCCTCCCCCCCCCCCTCTCTCTCTCTCGCTCTGTTTTTTATCTACAACTTTGTACAAAGCTAAAAAGTATATCAAGCATTTACACACATATTATAGGTATATACTTCCATTTATTATAGTATATAGATAAGTCGAAGCTAAGATTCTGCCAGAAACAAAAGATAGTGAAATAAAACGCAATCAACGAACAATAAACTGTTAAATAAAGCAACTGCCAACAAAAGAATTTTTAAATAAAATCATTAATAGAAAAACAAAACAGCGAAAGAAGAGCGAAAGTTTTCGCCTAGCAAATGTGCAATAACTAAAGTTATAAAACAAAACTCCCCCCGCTCCGAAACTCTATATACAAAACTCTTTGCACGCATATATATGTATATATATGAATATATATCTAGATATATGTTTGTCTAACTATATGCAAATTGGTTTTCATTCAGTTAAAGGCGAAAATTCTTTTGTTTTATGCAATGTTTCAGCTTTCGCCGCCGCGCGAAAGTGAAAAAGTTACATAAAAGAATGGAATTTTAGTGTTCAGAATTAGTTGCGAAAGTTTTGTGTAATAATAAAAGACAGCGAAATTTATTGCGCCAAGCAAACGAAAGAGGGTAAAGTTAAAAGTTATATGGAACGCATACATATGAGTATTTTAAGTATTTGTTAAGTGTATCATTAAAGTCAGTGTATATGGAAACATAATCAAAAGTAATATATATATATAATATACATATGTGTATTTTATCGAACAACAATCTGTGTGAGCTTTTTAATTCCTTCACTTGCGCGGCACCAAATGCACCCAGTAGCCGCTCTGTGGTGTCAGCTGGAAGCCGCGGGAATCGCTCAACAGATCCTTGACCGTCTTGGGCGAGCGCTCGATTCTGTACTTGAGCATCAGGTTGTATAACATGGCCTTGGCCTGCATCAGAGCATAGCGATTGCCTGCGTGGAATCAAAATAACATTAAATAAATAAACAGTAAAAGGTTTGCTTTTCCCACTCACCTATGCAATTGCGGGGACCCGCACCGAAGGGCAGATACGTGTAGGGCACGATTTGATCCTTGTTCTCGTCGCTGAAACGTTCCGGTTTGAATGCGTGCGGTTCGGGGAAATAGTTATCGTCCAGATGCAGACCCACAATGGGTATATTGATGCGATCGCCCACCTTAAACTCGAACAGCTTTGAGCCGTCGTCATCGTAGAGCGTATAATCCTTGGAGCACTGGCGATCTGTGGCAGCGGCCAGCGTCCATTTCCTCAGGGATTCAGAGACAACCATATCCATGTATTTCATCTTGGTGACGGCATCGTAGCTAAGCTGCTCGCCCTTCAGCGAATCGTGCGTCTCCTTGACCTCCTCGTAGAGGCGTTGCTGTATCTCCGGATTCTGCAGCAGTTCGTAGGCTGTGGTGCAAATGAGGCTGGCATTGTTCTCGAATGCCGCAAAGAAGAAGATGAAACACTGGGCCACCAGCTCATCGTCGGTCCAGTTCTCCGTTGCGTCCTTCTTGGCCTCCATCAGCAGCTGAATCATGTCAGGTCGCACAATGTTGTGCTCCTCGCGATACTTCATGGCGTCCACAACAAGGCGTATGAAAAAGTCCGTCTTCTCCGAGTCAAAGATCTTGAAGCCCAGCAGCTGCAGTAGGAATATGCATATATATAGAGGAGCTTTCAATAAATCTCCGTTGTGAACCCACCTTGAAGAGCCAGGGCAGCGTGGTGGACAGCATAAATTTGTACAAAGCCTTGCCGCGAAAGAAGGCCACCGCTTGGCCAATCTGGAAGAACTCGTTGTTCGGCGTCTTGTACGAGCTAACCTTTAGACCGAAGGCCGTGGTGGCAATCAAATCATTTGACAGCCGATTGCACACCTCCTTCAGTTCCAGCTCAAAGCCCTCACCCGGCTTGACAGCTGTCTCGGCCATCTTGTCCAGATGCTCCATGCACTCGGCAAAGCTATCGTTCATCAGGCCGAACATGCTGCGCATCTTGGCCGCGGTGAAGACGGGTGTGAGGGTGTTTCGCATATGCTTCCAGCGCTGATCCTTCATTACGCTCAGCATATCGTTGACCAGACGCTCCTCGGTGGTAAAGAACAGCTGGTGATTGGGAAAGTGATCAAAATCCTTGACAGTTATCTTCTTAATCAACTCCGGATCGTTCACTTGAATCATGGGCGTGCGAAAATTAAAGAAGCCCACCAATTTGCTGCAATATCAAAGTACTCTATCATTGGGGGAATACTTGGGATAACCCGAGAGTCCGGCCGATTACTCACTGTTGTCGGGTGCGTGAATAGAACTCGGAGACCAGTTTCTGAAACGAGGCCTTGTTCAACACGACATCTGCATTATTGCCGAGAATTGGCCACGGTTTCTCAAAGGGCAGGCCACGGTCCGCAAACTCATTCTGCCTGGCTGTGGCCCACTTGTAAACGTAGAGCAATAGCCCCACCAGGGCCACCAAAAAAATTAGAACCATTTTCGATTACAAAACTCAATTGAACTTGACCTTGACAAAAGCGCACAGAACGCTTCTTACACAATGCTCAACTGGAACTAATTTCCCGCTACCGAGCGATCGGGCTTTTATATGTCGGCTCTCTTTTTGGTGTCCATATATGGTATGTACTCTATGCAATTGCCGATAGATAAAAGTTGTTGTGATAATGTGCGCCGCTCAAGCGAAATACAAAAATAATAAAATAAGAGTCGGAAATAAACACGTTCAGAATATATACTCACCGGCTAACTGCGCTCTCTAAGTAGTACAGCCCGTGTGACATGCTCTGGGCGAGAGTTTTTGACTGACTGATACCCTGTACGAAGTGCTGAAAGTATCGCATAATTGAATAATCATTGTATATGCCCTTTAACTAAATCTAATGGTTGTCTTTGGTTAATTTGCATTTTAAATTAGTTTGATTTTAAGCAAAAAGTACGTATCTTCTATTTTCATTATTTATTAATTTTATTTATTATTACTATAATGTGAGCAGCTGATTTTGTAATATTTTTTTCAATTAGTTTGAATGAAATAATTATCAGAATTATATATAATTAATTATAATTATTCAGAATTAAATACAGAGTAAACCGAACTGAGAAGCATTTCCGAGAACTAATTTCTATATACGAAATACCCCCTGAAAAGCTGAATAATTGATAAGAATATTGTGAAAAAGGCCAGATAACAACAATATCGCTATAAGCTACTTTAAGCGTAATCAAAATACTTAACTTTATAGTATTTATTTATCGCATATATAACAAATATTCCATTATAATCTGATAGTTATCAGAGCTAATTGTCAGAGATATACCATAGAGAGCGATGCAGAGGCTGAAAGAGAGTGACAGAGGGAGGGAGAGAGAGAGAGAGAGTATGAGAGATATAGATATTTAGCGCTCTCTTTTATCATTGCATTATACTTGTAGACCACTTGAATTTATATATATGTATCTATTTGTTGATATGGCCTACGGCTGATGCAATGCACAACGAGCTTTTTAAATAAAGGTGCTTGACTGGGGGTTTATTAGAGAAAATTTTACGACTGTGTTTGATAAGCATTTGATTTGATAGAAAGGGAATGATAACCTATTGATAAAGCGCCTCTTTTTATTGAGTGGCAGACAAAAGGCGAAGTATGCTAGACTTATAGATGACCTGGAGTGCAGTAGAAGCAAGCTATGGACATAAAAAAAACGATTAGTTTTATTATATATATATATATATATAGAGAAAACTGAACTGAATTTATCATATAGGACATTTCATCAGCCTTTATGTGCAACGCTTCCCCAACTTTATACTTCCCGCTCTAACAATTACAGGGTATACATATAACGCAAGTTGAACAGAGTTAATTGAAATAATAAAACATACATTGTTTATACTAGATTTAAAAGTGCAATGATCTTGGCGAGCTGTCAACTTGATAAATTGATAAATTGATCATTTTCTTGATACAAAGTGGAGAGCCAAGCTGGCGCTTATGCAAGCTCTGAGAACCTCAAATATTAGAGACATAAAACTATGACATAAACTTGTGATGACTGGAAAAAGAAGACAAACAAAACAATGAAACAAGTTGCGAAGAAACCGCTTTGTTTACGTTTACGGTTTGAATATTTTAGCATATTGACCGATACTTGGGCTAACTTTGACTGCGACTCTGACTCAGGTTCAAAATACAGCACACAAAGTTAGAGGCAAACAGTTAAACAGCAAATTAGCCGCGAGCGTTATAACAAAATGCCTGTAATTAAATATTTAGTCAGTTTGTTTAGCTGCAGAGACGAACGGATGGATGGATGGATGGATGGATGGATGGATGGGTAGACTGGCTGACTGGTTAGTTGGTTGGCTTGTTTGATTGCCAGACTGTGACTGGCACTTTTCGAGTTTAGAAATTTGCAAACTGTTTGTCATATGTTGTGTGTGAGAGAGTAGAAACATACATCCAGAGAATAAACGAGTGAGTTTAATAACAAACTCAGGGGTTGAATAGAAGCAGACTATAAATATATTACACGGAAAAAATGAGAAAGTCTAAATGGAAATGTTCAGAACATTTTAAATGTGAGCTCTTACTCAAGTTTATCAATTATTCAGGTGATGCTCAGGGCTCGAATTCATGGTAAATACTGCTTAATAATACAGATATGATTTCTCCTCATATACCAATTATATTAATATATATTATACTAGCGGGTATACCCCGGCCTTGTCCGTGGAACGTTTAAAATAAATTCTCTCAAAGATTTTTAAAAATGAGTTTGAAACCGATCAAACGATAAGCCAATTCACTACTTTACGTGCGAAATTTGCAATTGTACTATTTATACAAGAATTATGACCCAGAAAAATGTTGCCAGATTTAGATGCAAAACTGATCTAGAGGCCAAACCGTGAACAAACAGCCAAACCTTACAAAAATCGGTTGAGTTTTGACCGAGTTACGGGAGTTTGAAAATGCGACCTGTGTCTATTGAGGATATTTGAGGATACCATTTTTACTTGATTTTGGACCAAAAATAATGTTGTCAGACTTTAATGCCAAATTGATCTGGAGGCCAAATCATTAAGAAAAAGCCAAACCTTATGAAAATCGGTTGAGTTTTGACCGAGTTATGGGGCTGGGAAATTTTGGTCTATGTCTATATAGGTTACTTGAGGGTACTATTTTGACTTGATTTTGGACCAAAAATAATGTTGTCAGACTTTGATGCCAAATTGATCTGGAGGCAAAACCATTAAGAAAAACCCAAACCCTATGAAAATCGGTTGAGTTTTGACCGAGTTATGGGGGTGGGAAATTTTGATCTATGTGTCTATAGGATATTTGAGGGTATATTTGAGGGTACCATTTTCACTTGATTTTGGACCAAAAATAATGTTGTCAGACTTTGATGCCAAATTGATCTGGAGGCCAAACCATTAGGATAAAGCCAAACCTTATGAAAATCGGTTGAGTTTTAACCGAGTTATGGGGGTGTGAAATTTGGATCTATGTCTTTATAAGATATTTGAGTGTTCCCTTTTTACATGAATTTTGACCAAGAAAGTGTTGCCAGATGTAGATGTCAAATTGATCTAAATGAGTTTGGAACCGATCGGATGGTAAACAAAAAAGTTTCATACCTACTAACGTTTTTCGCGATTTTTCCTCATATGCGGGTGGAATTTTCCCCAATTCCTAGATCTTACGGTTTGTGCTGTGTATTGATCAGTCAGTCAGTCAGTCATTCCGTCAGTCAGTCAGTCGAACAGTCTTATATGTAGAGATTATTATGACCAAGTTATTCAAGCAAAAAGAGGCTTTTAGCCTTTTTGTAATAAATATATGACAATAATTAAGCACTTTTAAATGCAAAGATAATTATTAAATGTATTCAGGCCATAAGTGCACTTAATATAATCCATTTAATGGCAATGCGCAAAAGTATTAAAAAACCATTCGAATTGTCGTATTGTCAACATGCGCAACATTTTAATATTTTACGGAATATTGCATCTTTGGCTAGCCCTAAAACTGAGCTACAATGTGTGTGTGAATTGGTCAGTAGCTGACCATATTTAAAGCTAATAACAGCCTCTCCCACAGGAAGCTCTCGAGTTCAAGATGACGAATGCGGTTTGCGAGAGCCACAACAAATCGTGGTTTGTCATACACAAATGTCGCCTGCGAGCAGTTAATCGGGATAAAACAACTTTGAACATTAATGGAACTGTCCTGCATCCTGCCTACGATATTTTGGTTAAGGCGCAAATATTAAAGAAAGCAAATGGCTATAAGCCATGGCTCTACAATATGAACATCGATGTTTGCCGTTTCCTGAGGAAACCCTACAACCCCGTTGCAATAGTTATTTTTAAAATGTTCAAAGAGTTTAGCAACTTTAACCATACATGTCCCTATATGGTAAGTATAACAGTTGGACTATAAGCTAGCTGTAAGAAATGTATCCGATTGGGCCAGGGTATATTCATACAGGGTATATTCCCCCCTTTCTATGATTCAAATTTCTCTTTCGAAAAGGGCCCACAAATCGTTGATGGATTTTATCTCAGATGGAACACTTTGCCAAATTTTTTGCCAACAGGAGAATATCAATTGGCTATGACCTGGTATTTTGATAAGAGACCACAATTTGTGTCGAACATCTACTTTAACTTCAAGGAGGATTTGTGAGAGTATCTATAAATAAAGCAACACGAAAATCTACAGCAACATCTGGTGAGCCTTGCATTATTTTCATTTCAAATCGATACAAAAATATATTCTTTAAGCTAATTACGTTAATTGAACCTTTTTAAACGGAATCAATTAGTTGACGTGTCGAAGCAGAAAGCCCGTTTAATATAATGTATAATGTATTTATAACAGACATTTATTATGACATATTATATAAAAAAATCTTTGCTGGATTTATATTCTCCGGTCCCTTTGGGCAGGTCAGAGATCTTGCCTTTACGAGTTGTTTGACAGCGTATTCGCTGGGATCCTTTAGGATTAAACCGAATTATGGCAATATTTTTAAAAAGCCCAAGCCGAAAGCTTAGATTCGAACAATCCGATAGTGCTCATTCCATTATGTGTGCATTGAAGCGAAATTTTGCTGCGAATATACAAATTTCGTATGCATAAAAGTATTTAGTGCCGAAAAGTCATCCGAGAATCATCGCCATGCGCATCGCTCACATTGTTTGGGGAATATTTCAAATTGGGGTAATCCTCAAGCTGAGCTACAATGTAGGTTAGCTTCAAGTTAAATTATAAATTGTTAAAAAAATGTGTTTGAACAAAACATTCAACAGGAAGCTCATGAATTTAAGTGGACCAATTTGGTTTGCGAGAGCCTCAACAAATCGTGGGTTGTTATACACAATTGTCGCCTGCGAGCAGTTAATCGGAATAAAACAACTTTAATTCTAAATGGAACTATCCTGCATCCTGCCAACGATATTTTAGCCAAAGTGCAACTTTTAAAGAAAGAGAATGGATATAAGCCATGGCTCTACAGTGTGAACATCGATGTTTGCCGTTTCATGAAGAAACCCTACAATCCAGTTGCAATACTTATGTTCAAAATGTTTAAAGAGTTTACCAACATCAACCACGCATGTCCCTTTATAGTAAGTATAAGGTTAGCTGTGAGATATGTTCCGATATTTTGTCGGAATTCCATCCAGAACACAGTCAACCAAAATTTTCCCCTTCTTTTTTAAAAAGGGCCCACAAATTGTGAATGGAGCTTATCTCAATTTGAAGTTTTTGCCAAATCTCTTGCCATCAGGAGACTATCAAGTGGCTACAAACTGGTATTTTGATAAGAGGCCACAATTTCAAACAAAAGTCTACTTCACCTTCAAGGAGGATTTGTAAGAATTTTACCAAATAAAACAAACAGAAACATCAGGCAAAGCTTATGCCAAATTATATAAATCGATTAAAAAATAACTTATTTTGACTAATTACGATAATTAAACATTCCTAAGCGCAAATAATTAGTTGAAGTGAGCTAAATGTAATATACCTATAACAATCAATGGCTTTATCTAAACTAAATAAGTTCCGCTCTTGGATCATTCGGCATTTGCGAACTCGTGAAAGTCCGCGGAACGAAATCAAGCCATTTTTGTCAAATTTTATGGCAATGGAGTTATAAGCTGTAAAGGAAATCTTCTTTTTAGAAGAATGGCTCAATCTCAGGTTTAGGCACGCAGATTGTCCTTTGGTGCGTCACAAGCACATGAACGAACTGTATCGATTGCCATTGAAGGATATGCAGATCATCTAAGAATCAGAACCTTTTTGTCTAAATCATATCGGTATATAGGACAAAATACTTGTTATCTCAGAAACTCGAATATGGGTCCGTTTGGGCAGGTGAAAGCTCTTGCCCTGACGAGTTGGCTGGCAGCTCATTCACTTATTCCTAAAAATTAAACCGATATACGGGGTTTTCAATGTATTTAAAAAGCCCAAGCCGAAAGCTTAGATTCGAACAATCCGATAATGTTCATTCCATTATGTGTGCATTGAAGCGGAAATTGCTGCGAATATACAAATTTCATATGCATAAAAGTATTAAGTGTCTGAGTGCCATCCGAGACTCGTCGCCATGCGCATCGCCCTCATTGTTTGGGGAATATTTCAAGTTTGGGTAATTCTCAAGCCCAGTTACAATGTAGGTTAGCTTCAAGTTAAATTTGGAAGCACTAAAATAATGTGATTGAACAAAACTTTCAACAGGAAGCCCTCGAATTTAAGTGGACAAATATGGTTTGCGAGAGCTTCAACAAATCGTGGGTTGTCATACACAATTGTCGCCTGCGAGCAGTTAATCGGAATAAAACAACCTTAATTCTAAATGGAACTATCCTGCATCCTGCCAACGATATTTTAGCTAAAGTGCAACTTTTAAAGAAAGAGAATGGATATAAGCCATGGCTCTACAGTGTGAACATCAATGTTTGTCGTTTCTTGAAGAAACCCTACAATCCAGTTGCAATACTTATGTTCAAAATGTTTAAAGAGTTTACCACCATCAACCACGCGTGTCCCTTTATGGTAAGTATAAGGTTAGCTGTGAGATATGTTCCGATATTTTGTCTGAATTCCAACTAGAGCAAAGTCAACCAAAATTGTACCTTTCTTTTTTAAAAAGGGCCCACAAATTGTGGATGGAGCTTATCTCAATTTGAAGATTTTACCTAATCAGATGCCAACAGGAGACTATCAAGTGGCTACAAACTGGTATTTTGATAAGAGGCCACAATTTCAAACAAAAGTCTACTTCACCTTCAAGGAGGACCTGTAAACATTTTACCAAATAAAATAAACATTTATGAATATAGAACCACAAAAACATATACTAAAACCAAATGATATTAACGATACAAAAATAAATTAATAAAGATAAATAAACATTTTTTAACGAGAAAAATTAGTTGATGTGTTGAAGCGGAAAAAACGTTTAATATAATGAATGAACAGATAAATATTAGGACATATTATATATAAATACTAGCGGGTATAACCCGGCCTTGCCCGTGGCACGTATGTTATAAAATCAAAAAAGCTTTGAAAATGATTTTAAAACTGATCGGACGGGAATCAAACAACTTTTATGCAAATCGGAAAACTCTTAAAATTCACCAAAAAAATCTTAAAAATGCATTTTCCACCGAAGGAGTTTAGATTTTGCGAGAAATGTGAAACACGTCTCAAATGATTTTTCTTATAGATCTTTGGAAATAAATTTGAACACAAAACGTCACCGACCAAATCTTCGACCACCATTTGCACCAAGGAGGGATGGAATTTTTCAAAAAGTGTGAAACACCCCTCAAATGCATTTGAACATAGATCTTTGAAATGAGTTTGGGGCCGATCGGATGGTAAACAAAAAACTTTCATACAAACGTTTTCCGCCAATTTACCACTGTTGCGGGTGGAATTTCCCAAATCGCTGAAATACGTATTTATTAAGTTCTTATTGAGAGCTTTTAAAATAAGTTTGAAGCAAATCGGGCACAACTTAAAACGCCGCCCAAAAAATCTTTAAATCGCATTCACCCCGAAGAAGTTTGAATTCTGCGAAAAGTGTGAAAAACGTCTCGAATGAATTTTCATATAGATCACTGGAAATGAATTTGAGGGCGAAACGTCACCCACCAAATCTTTGACCTCCATTTCCACCAAGGAGGAATGTATATTTTGGAAAGTGTGAAACACCCCTCAAATTAATTCCAACAAAGATCTTTGAAAATAAGTTTGAGACCGATCGGATGGTAAACAAAAAAGTTACATACAAACGTTTTTCGCGATTTTTCCACACTTGCGGGTGGAATTTCGCGAAACCCCGTCTTAATGTGCACCTACATCACATAAGGTAACTACAGTGAAAATTTCAGCTTCCTAGCTGTTACGGTTTGGGCTGTGCGTTGATCACCAATCAGTCAGTCAGTCAGTCGGTCAGTCAGTCAGTCAGTCAGTCAGGACAAACAGTTTTATATATAGAGATTAACAGTATATTCGGTAACATCCATATTCTTGTCTGGGATGAAAATGGTTTCGATCTCGACTCTTTTATTGGTAAATCGATTTAACAAATTACCTTTGCAGCTCCGTCACAAATTTAAATTATTTTTTAATTGAAACAATTTTTCGATGTACCCAAGCGAAGAGACCAATTGATATAAAATTTGTGGAATTGTGGAATGCTTCGAAGTTATTTCAGTATCGTGGCCATGCGCATCCCTCTCAAAGCTTTCGGATTATTGCCAATTTGGTTATTTCTAAGTTACAATGTAAGTTGGCCTGAGGATTATACTGGACATACGGAATAAATTGAATTATCAACTGCAGGAGGCTATCGAGTTCAAGTTCACAAATGCGGTTTGCGAGAGCTACAACAAATCGTGGATTGTCATACATGAATGTCGCCTTCGAGCTGTAAGCCGCAACAAGACGACGTTTAATTTTAATGGAACTGTCCTGCATCCTGCAAACAATATTCACGTTCAATTCGAACTCTTTCAGAAGGCTAATGGCTACAAGCCATGGCTGGTTAATGTTACCGTTGATGGCTGTCGTTTTATTAAAAAACGGTTCAATGCATTCGCAATGCTGGCCTATAAGCTTTTGGCCGAGTTCTCTAACTTTAATCATTCATGTCCCTATTTGGTAACTATCAAAGAACACCTTGACATATGTCCTTAACATATTTTTAATTGCATTCTCTCGTTTAAGGGCCCCCAAATTGTTAAGGGGTTTTATCTAAAATCGAACTACTTGCCACATGCTTTTCCAACTGGTGACTATCTACTGAACATAAATTGGCTATTTGATAGGAGACCACAATTTAAAACTAATGTTTACTTTACCTTCAAAGAGGACTTAAACTCAACAGGCTAAGACTCTTTAAACTGTGTCTTATATGCGGTATAGTTGCCTGATAAAATAAATACAAATATATTTGGTTCCAATATACATACATATATGTATTATTTATTACAACTAAGTTCTTCGGCTCAGAGAAATTTTCGATTTCGATTTCGATTTTATTACTGTGTAAGCACTAACCAAAGAACATATATATGGGACATGCCGTGTATCCAAAGCGATTAAGATATATGTATGTACATATGATGTCTTTTGCTGATGTCACTGCAGGAAACTGCTTTGGCTTTCTCTCTCTTCCATATGATATGTGCGATAGAACGGCATCGCTGTTTATTATTATCTCGCTAGCACTTACTCGCAGTGCTCTCAATGCTCTCTTTATGTCTAGGTACCGTTTAAATGTTTGTGTGTGCGTGTGTCGCACAGGCAAAAATGCCCACAAATTCAATTTTTCTCAAATATCTTCCTTTTTGAATGGACGAGTAATATGAAATGATGAAAGGGTTTGCCCCGTCGATGCGAAATTCTTGCATTTTAGCTCGTTATTATTGGAAAGGGTACCTAAGCGTTGGCATGTGTGCTTTTATAAGTTTTTGGACTTGCTATACACGCATACTCGCATATTTTGTATATGAATAGAAGCATTTATGCGCTTGTGTGCCTGTTGGTCTCTGCCTGCCTGTCCGATGCAAATTTGACAATATTTTGGGATTTCTGATTTTCGAGCTCTACACACACACAGACACAGACACAAATGTGTGTGAATAGGCAGATCATGGGCGCAAAATAAAATATCATTTTTGGCACGCGTCTGGCGCGCATCCTTCTTTTTATGATTTTGGGTTTGAATTGATGAATGAATGTTGACTCCTTATTACCTGCAGATCAAATTCATATATGCAAAAGCTAAATATGTATGTATATCTTACACTTTGGATACACGGCATGTCCCATCTACATATATGTTCTTTGGTTAGTGGTGTAAGCCAATGGGAATAATATGAGTAAATCGATTTAACAAATTACTTTTTCAGCTCCGTCAATAATATCAAGTATTTTGTAATACTAACAATTTATTGGTGTACCGAAGCCAAGCGATCATTTGATATAAAATTTTTGGAATTATGCAGTGCTTCGAAATCATTTCAGTCATGCGCATCTCTCTCAAAGCTTTCCGATTACTGCCAATTCGGTTATTTCTAAGTTACAATGTAAGTTGGCCTGAGGATAATGCTGGACATACAGAATAAATTGAATTATCAAATGCAGGAGGCTATCGAGCTCAAGTTCATACATGAATGTCGCCTTCGAGCTGTAAGACGACGTTTAATTTCAATGGAACCATTCTGCATCCTGCAAACAATATTCACGTTCGATTCGAACTCTTTCAGAAGGTTAATGGCTACAAGCTGGTTAATGTTACATTTGATGGCTGTCGTTTAATTAAAAAACGGTTCAATGCATTCGCAATGCTG